AGAAAATTTTGGGGAAAGTAGGCGCCAAAAACCCAATCTCTGTGCTGCTGCTGCGTAATGAAATAAGGAAAAAAATCAAGGCTACGAAAACCATTTTTCCCATCTTCCACTACCTTCTGTCCGACTATGCATATCACGTCCTAAAATCCAGTCTCCATCTCCGGCAGTGGTGCAGTCGTGCAAATCCGATAGTAAAGTCCGATGCCATCTTCGGCAGTCCCTTGACAAGTCCGGTCAACCTCCGTAGGTATCACTTGGTTTCACTTGTGTTAATCTTAAGAGATGATTCAATAAACACATAAACCATGTATACACTCTTTGGAGAAAAAAAATATGATGAGAAAAGGGAGATTTTTATAAATGACCTGCTACTATTCATTTTTGGTAAAATGTCTATAATACCCTTAATGAAAGGATTTGTCATATTTTACACAAGATATCCTTAATTTATTGGGATAGTTCTAAATTCTTCTATTTCTCTCATTTTGAGTTTTAATATATAATTTCGTAAAATGTCTATAATACCCTTAATGAAAGGATTTGTCATATTTTACACAAGATATCCTTAATTTATTGGGATAGTTCTAAATTCTTCTATTTCTCTCATTTTGAGTTTTAATATATAATTTCATTCTTTGATCTAATAAATTAGAATAATCTGTAATATAATTGTCATGTAATTTACTAAGATTATCATATTCCTTAGATGAAATATCCATAATCTCTAGTTGAGCAAAAATATTTCTTATTTTTTCCATTAGTTTTTCTAACAGATTATCTAATCCTTTAATTGTATAACCTGGCATTATTCAGATAATTCTTTGCAAGTTTTATGAATAATAATAACATGTTAGATAAGTTTTTTGCAAACATGAAAAGTAATAATCCCTACGATTCTTTCAAGATATTAGAAGAATTCTTTCTAAATTTAACAAAGACAATAATTTTACCTCACTTTTGATCTTGAATCTGTATTCTTAGAACCGAGTGACCTTCAGGCTCTGAATCTGCAAACTGCTCCCTCAAACGGCCTCTTGCCTCAATGGGAATTCTGCTATTTCACCTTCTTGCCCTCACTGTATCTTTTCTTAGAATTAAGAGTAAAGATCTTAAGTAAAGAAAATTCTTTCTTTGTTAAAGTAAGAAAGAAATTATCTTCTTCAATCTATCAAGAATCTATGGGATAGGAAATTTAGAAACTCATATCTTTCTGATATCAAAAGATTGAAATTTTATTTCTATAATGATTCATACAAGGTTTCTATTGTATACAAGGGGTTTCCAGAAAAACTGGTTTTGAAAAAAGCTTAAGGAAAGAGAATTGTTTCTAACTCGAGATGTCATTCTTTCCCCAAAGACCTCTATTTATATATCCATGATTTATTGATTTTAGGCAATGATTTATTATTTCGGCCAACTCCAATCTAGAAATCTCGGCCAACATATCCAATGGTAATAATATGTTCAGCAGGATAGTATATCCTTCCATCAACTTTAGGACTTATTGAATAAAATTTGATATAAATAGATCTTCCTTGGGCAAATTTTGAAACTTCTGCCCTGAATATATCATCAAAATTTTCAATTTCTTTTAAATCTTTTTCTAGATAGATCAAATTCAGAAATCTATAATCTGCTGTCATTTTGACCATGAAAGGGTCTGCATCTTTGGTAATTATTAATCTGGGATAAACATGATCTCCTGATGCAATAAAATAAGATTCATTTTCTTCCAATTCATAAACAATCTTGGCAAATGATCTATATTCTTCTTCTTTTGATGATAAAGGGGTATCATCATCTTCATCAGTTTTGATTCTTATAACTCTTGTATGTTCATCATTATTTTTCATAGTCACCTTCCGGGGACTTGTTATATCTCGTTTGATATTGCTGGGTCCACTGCTGCTTCCTGGCTGTGTACCTGTTTGTATTTTTGAGATTGTATCAATTGGCATTTCCTGTTTGGTATCTAATGACTCGAATTGTGAAGTAATATCAACAATTCTGT